AGTGATATACGAACACGACCGAAAAAATGAGAGGATTCGAAAATGTTACCCATCTTCGGGAAACTACGAGCTCGGTTAAAAGAATCAAATGAAACGACGGGTCCGAAGTTCTGCCGGAAAAGACGGCTAGAATTTTGCTTGAGAAAATGAAGTTGAACTTGCTGGAGATGGAGCTTCTCGCTGGATTTAATAGCAGCTGGGACTCGGGGTGTGACGCTGAGAAGAACGGGGACGACGGGGCTGATCGCGGTGGCTCACAGAGATGACAGCGACGAGCGACAGTGGTGTTGATGATGAGCCGCAGTTGATCGACGGGCCTGCGATTTCACGCCAGGTGGTCACGATGAGGATGTGCGAATGTGGTCGGGTGCAGTAGGGATGCGGGATGGCTCGCTGATCACGGTTGACTACTCGTGGAGATGACCGACGGCGTCAGGGAGCAGCAGGTCGTCGGTTTCGCGGTCGGCGATCGGAGATGTTGATCAGAGAGAGCATGAGGGAGAGATAAGGAAGGGAATAAGATAAAAATTTTCCTGTGCTACTACTAGGTGATCGATGAGAGATGGTGAAGGAGAAATAATTGTGGCTGATTGCTTTCAATTAAATGATAAGGGAACTTTCCTTCAAATAATTTTGTAACGTTTTTAAACATTGAAGAATGGTTTATGGTCATTGATGGTGATTTTGAATTTTTCCTTGATGAGAGAATTTCAGAAGATCATTGGTCATCAAGTAACCAAAAGAGAGAGAAACCGGTTATTGGGTCACGACCGGCTCGCGCACGGGGCGGGTTCGATCCTTGCGCGGTGCGGGCTTCGTGCGGTCGAGGCCCGAGTTAGTATGCGTGCAAATAAATCCAAAACATACCGACTAAACTAGAGTATTCGGTTCGATAAATAAATAATATATCATTCGGCTCGATTATAATAATTTAATTATTAAAACAATTAGCCAATTACGAGCACATTTTGTTGAATTAAAATAAAATCGAGCACGAGATAAATTAAATTAGGAAAATAAATTAAATAAATAATCCCAAAATAATCCGGAAAAAATGGGCACTACACTAGCACCAGTGGCTACCAAAAACAGGGAGTCCGAGGCTCCGACCTCAAGCCAATGACCACAAGAAACCACCAGCCCATCCCCTCGCACCACCGCTTAGCTTACGAATGCAACCCAACTCTCGCTATGGAACACGATAAAAGAAAGAAACCCACGCGTAGAGGATAACCACCAACCCATTGCGGAACAAACTGACTGGGAATGACCACCTGCCGACTCGCGCCGTTGGGTATGGCGCACGTGTAGTGGGGAGACCTGCCGATTAAGAGTTAGGTTTCTAGAAAATTGGGGGTTTTTTTTCTTGGCGAAGAGAAGACGATACGCTAAGGTTCATGCTCACGTACATTACTGTGCGTATTTGTCTAACACTATTGTGCATTATGAGACGAAGACATTTTTCAATGTGTATATAAATTAGCAACATTGTGCACTTTGCTTAATATTAATGGTCATTTAGTATATTGTTTTATAAATTATATGTTCGATCCAACTTCCAAGTACTAAATTGTAATATAATCAAAATTGCAAATAAGTTCTTTGGAATTATCTAATTTCCAAAATGAAGCCCCTAGGAAAAAAAAATCTAGATTTCATTCAGATCATCCCCATGTCTTCGCCGTCTTGACCACCGGGAGTCACCGATCGAAGCCTCCATGTTCATTCGCCGTTCTAGCCATGGCAACCTAGAGAAAAAGTGGTGTTCGCCATGGATGTGGAGTAGCTAACCGGAGCTTTCACGTCTGACCACCATGACCGATCGTTCTGCCTGTCTGATCACTGATAGCTTCTTCAAACACCGAAGAACACGTTTTGTTGTCGAGAATGTCCAATGTTGTGCTGCTGAATGGGATTTTTGAGCTCTTGTATCAATGGCCGATTTTGAACGGGAGATCATGGCTGCGTGACTCCTTAGTGAAAATTGGTCGGGGGGATCGACATATGATGTTGTTGTCCCCATTGTGGGTGAAATGAAGCTGCAAGATTGGCGCGGCGGTACCGTCTAGAGCAGCAAGGAGTGGTCGTGCGAACCGCGGACAGACGACCATCGGGCTCTCGGATGTGGCGGCTAGACAGAGACTGTTGTTCGCCGATGTTGGGTGGTACGCACCCATCGCTGGCTTGCTATCAGATAATATATGGTTCACCGAAGATCACGAGCACCACCAATCGAGAGAAGACCAGTGACGGGGTTGTTTATGCGAGAGAGACAGAGTGTTGGGAGGGGGTTTGGTGGGTTAGTGGGTGAGGCCCACTAAATGAATTAGGTTTGGTTGGTTGGAATATGTAAAATGCTCATATTACCCTTAATGACTATCAACTTTTAGATTTCTTTTAGTTGTCGGATTATTTGATTTGGTAACTACAATGTATTTTTATTTCTTTTACTGAAAATCATTTTCACCGAAGCGCATTCTTATATTTATTAATATAAAATACAAATACATTTAAAAGTAATAATAATAATAATAATAATAATAATAATAATAATAATAATAATAATAATAATAATAATAATAATAATAATAATAATAATAATAATAATACAATAAGATGAAGAATTATGTAAGGAGTAATACAGTGCATGTTCATCAAATTTCTAGGAAAATAAAAAAAACTAGTAAAAAACTTATCTCAATTAAAAGTTTAATTTAACCATACTATCCTCAATATTATCAATATAATTAAATAATATTATTCAATCATTCTTAGACATCAAATCTGTAACACCCCACCTTACTGTAAAATCAGAGTTGCGCAAAATATCGCAAAGTCTTTGAAAATAAAACCTTTTTACTTTGCGAAAACTGATTTGGGGTGCTACCGTGAAAATCCTTACTTAACTTAGAAAAACCGTTGTTTTAATTTAATAAAAACGTCCGGTTACTGAAAAACTTTACTTTCTTAAAAGTCTGTCGAAATATGATAAGTTCGTCAAAACATATCATAAACATCATCATAAGTTATCAAAAGATAAGCGGAAGCGCAAGTTATAGTTATACAGTCAGAAACATATATATGAATATCCTGAAAGTCCCGATCTGCTCCGTCACGTCACGCTCCCGGCCCGACATCCTGACCTGAAAAACATGAATAAACTGGGGAGTGAGCACTAGGCACTGTGCTCCGTGGAAACTCATACTAATGTAAAACATCGTAAATAATAACAATATCATGAACTAAGCATATATGTCTGAACTGAACTGACACCGGTCTGAACTCGCGACTGAAGTCACGTACTCGCGACCGAAGTCACGTAACTGAATCTGCTCGGCACAAACTAATGCCGCTCGGCACAAACTAATGCCGCTATCTCCCG